ACAGATTGGTATCAGAGCGCGTTTTTGCGTATCTGAAAAGTTTTTCAGTCAAAAAATTTTCAAAAATTTTCAAAAAAACCTGAACCGTCACGCTCACGCCTCACCGACACCAGGTAAGTGCTGATTCAGTTTTTCAGTTATAAACATATTACTTTGTCTATGCTCAGAAAAATCAGTAATCAGACTTAGTTAAGATGCTCGAATCAGATTCAGACTTTAGAGTTCAGATATAACTCTAGAATTCAGGATGATCAGTATGACTCTAGACTTTAGTACCTATCGATATGACTCTAGAGATCCTCAGGTTTCATGTCAGTATTTATCGGCCATTTTTGGCTACTCGTCAAGAAATTTGTGTGCCTTAGAAATCAGTCAGAATATCCTCATGTATTCAATAATTTCTAAATCTTCTCAATCTTCAGATGGCACCAACTCAGGCTACCGTGGTCGATCAGTTCCGCGATTACCATGCCGAGAAGTTCTCAGGGCAGGGAGACCCTCGCATAGTTGACGAGTGGATTCAGGGCCTGGAGTTTATCTTCGAGGTCATGGAGTGCCCTGAGAGATTCCGCGTCATTTGCGCTCAGCTTCAGCTCACCGGAGATGCTAGACTCTGGTGGAACGCTTACTGGGGCATGCGCCCCGGTGAGAAGGCGGCATGTACGTGGGAGATGTTCAAGGACTTAGTCCGTGAGAAGTACTATCCCACCTACTACCGGGCCGAGATGGAGCGCCAGTTTCTATCGCTCCAGCAGGGTACTCGTACAGTCGATGAGTACGAGAGGGAGTTCACGAGACTTGCAGCTTTTGTCCCTGATTTGGTTCGTACGGAGGCCCAGCGAGCGCAGCGTTTCATTGACGGACTCAGCCCAGCAGTCCGTCATAACATCGTAGGCCACGGGACGCAGACCTATGCTCGTGCAGTCTCTATTGCCAGGGAGGTGGATGCTAGTATCAGGAGGGAGGCCGTTCGTACCCAGTCGTCTTCAGTTCCACCAGTGTCAGCTTTGCCATCTACCCAGCCGCCCAAGAATAGCAAGAGGAAGGATAAGAATGCCCAGACAGATAAGAGGGCCCGACGGAGGCTTCAGTAGGTTCCACAGTGCCCGACATGTGGACGACATCACCGAGGCGAGTGTCGCTTTGGTTAGGACGTGTGCTACTACTGCCATGAGCCCGGACACTTTGCGAACCGTTGTCCGAAGAAGGCTCAGCAGCCTCAGCAGCAGCAGCAGCCACCGCAGCAGCAGCAGCCCCGTCAGCAGGCCCAGAGGCAGCCCCAGCAGCAGCAGCAGAGGGGCAGACAGCTGGCCAGGGTTTATGCCATTGATCAGGCAGAGGCAGAGCAGCAGCCAGGTACCATGTTCGGAATGGTTATTCTTAATAATGTTCCTGTGTTTGCTTTGTTTGATACTGGAGCGACACACACCTTCATTTCCCGACGATGTCTTGATGCCATCGGAGTTCGCGCTACTTCAGCTATCGATCCTCTCGAGGTGAGTTTGGCCTCGGGACGAAAGATAGTAACCTCAGCTAAAGCCTCAGATCTTAGCCTTTCCATCGGTGGCCGAGTTTTGCCTACCGACGCGTTTGTTCTCGAGATGAAGGACTTCGACCTGATTCTCGGAATGGATTGGCTATCCTTCTATCATGCAGATATCAGTTGCCACGACCGGGAGATTACTCTCTATCTTCCGAGAGATGAGTCGATTTCCTTCTTCGGCTCCAGAAACCGTTCTTTGCCTCATGTTGTTTCTATGGCGAAAGCCACTAAGTTGCTGAGACGAGGCAACTGCCAGGGTTACCTGGTGAGCCTTGTTGATGATTCGCAGACGGCTCATTCACCTCACGATGTTCCAGTCGTTCGAGAGTTTGTGGACGTTTTCCCAGACGAGCTTCCAGGAGGACCGCCTGACCGACAGGTGGAGTTTTCTATCGACCTTATTCCAGGGGCCGGTCCAGTATCCAAAGCCCCGTATCGTATGGCGCCTAAGGAGTTGCAGGAGCTTAAGGAGCAGATTCAGGAGCTGTTACGACTCGGTTTCATCCGACCGAGCGTGTCACCTTGGGGAGCACCCGTTCTCTTTGTTAAGAAGAAGGACGGATCCATGCGCATGTGTATCGACTACCGGGATCTTAACCGGTTGACGATCAAGAACAAGTATCCGCTCCCCAGGATTGATGACTTATTTGATCAGCTGAGGGGAGCCTGTGTGTTCTCAAAGATTGATCTGCGATCAGCCTACCACCAGCTGAAGATCAAGGAGTCAGATATCGCTAAGACCGCTTTCAAGACTCGTTACGGCCATTACGAGTTCGTAGTCATGCCTTTCGGTCTCAGCAATGCGCCAGCAGTTTTCATGGATCTCATGAACCGTATCTTCCATTCCTACCTCGATCAGTTTGTTATTGTCTTTATTGACGATATTCTTGTCTACTCGAAGAGCCAGAAGGAGCACGAGGAGCATCTGAGGGTGGTTCTTGAA